CTATTTTACTTTATAAAAACTTAGTAAAATGTAACCGATCTGTGAGTGGAGCAACGTGAGAGGCGTAATGGCAAAAAAAAAACCGTCTATGAAAGTCGGGAAAAACCTACCGAGAGTCATGAGTGATCATAGAATTTACTAGTCAAGTATTGCTTGAATCTTCGTATGATCTAGGGTAACACTATTAATTGAAATAATGTGGTCAAAATAATAAACACTAAGAACAATAAACACACATTTAGATAAATTTTAAAAATATTGGCTTGAAGCAAGCAATTCTAAAATCAATTCCAAATGAGGCACATGGTCACTTAAACAAGTACTTCAAATTAAAATATCATAAAATAAAACTAAAACAAACCATCTGAAATAAGGTAGAAGAAAATCGTTCATAGTCGATTGAAAAGTACTAGGAACATTAGTTAAACCAAAAGGTATAACCAAAAACTCACAGTGCACATCAAAAATTCTGAAAATTATTTAGCGAGTGTATTATGGCATAACCGAATTTGGTCGTAGCCTTAAGTCAATCTTAATAAAAAAAATCATAACCTAATTAATAAAACAGTTCATCAATGGTATGGATATGGAATTGGTCACAAATTGTAACTATGTTAAGTGCATGATAGTCCATACAACAATGTCACATACCATCTTTTTTCGCACTAGTATAATTAGGGATGAGTATTTCTAGGCTTGATGATGCCCTCTTGAAGCATGTCATTATGGTTGTGGTTATGGCTTCTTTCTCAAAGTGGGATTAGGACAATACTTAATATTATGGAAGTAGTGTTTGGTGTTAGAAAGATATGGTGATCATGGGGCCTAGTTTGGGGTAGTCCATGAGGGGTTTAAAAATAGTAGGATAGGATTTGAAAATATTTTTTATTTCATTGGGTAAGGATGTGGGGAGGGTGTCTAGAGTTTGCTTTAATTGATTTCTGGTATTTGGATAAGGTGCATTAAAGTGATAAAGTTTATGTAGAGTAGATGGCAGAGTTGATTATAGGTTGAGGGTGTTGGGGAAGGTTTAAGATCACTTTTAATAGTGATGTATTCACTATTATAGGTGAAGGAAATTTTGGGTACTTTAAAATCAGCTAAAGAGGGACCAAGTGTTTGCAACCATTCCATTTCTATGACCACATTTTCTCATTCAATGGGAAGCAAATAGAAAGTTATAAAAATAGATAATTTTGCAACTTGATGGGAAATTGAGGGCATACTCCAGAACGTATTAGCTGAGAGTCATTGCCCACCATTACATAGAAATTGGGTATGGGTTTGTTGGAATTATGAGATGTAGGACTATGCATGGTTGAGCAATAGTGTGAGTGTTGTCAACATTGATAAGAATAATAACCTATAATCCATCAAGTAATCCTTTAAATTTCAATGTATTTGAGTAAAATTAGGCAGTAACAATTTATGGTGAAATTTGAAAAGATGTTTCCTCTATTTTATATTCAACTTCCACTATATCAGAAATTCCATTAGTATCTTGAGTTTTAATACGATTATCGTCTAATGTCATGAGTAAGAGGAATTTTCCTACTGCATATTTGTGTCTAGGAATAAACTTTTAGTCACAATTAAAAGCATAAACCTTGAGCTCTTTGCTCTTCCCATTGAGCTGAAGTAATATGTCGTATACATAAATGACATGAGACTGTGTTTGAGTAGGGTGTGAACCTAGGTTTTGATGGTGTTGTGGTATTTGGGTTATTGAGTAAAAGAAACTTTATATTACTTCAAAAAAATAACAGTAAGTACAAGCGATCCTCTTCCGGATCCAGCCACTAACACAAACCAAATAGGACTAATAGAGCCAAGAAAAACTAAAGATAATTATCCCCCATCTAACATAAGAATTGGTATGTATTTTCTAATTTTCTTGGTATTCCATCCTCTGTATACCAATGTATCTATAACTCTCTTCCCCACTATGGTTGTATATTCATTCATATCAAAAAATTTTTATTCCTAATAATCCAAAGTTCATATATAGTTTCAGATGCTGCCATTTTAATGACAGTCGCCCTTGCTCCTTTTCCCTTTGTGTTCTGCATCAGCCAATTAAGTTCGTCTTGCCAACCCCCTGGGATACGATGGATCTGCATCCACTGTAGGACTTCCTTCAAAATACTTCTCATTGTTTCACATTCAAAGAATAAATGATTTAGAGATTCATCATTCGAACAGAAACAACATTCAGTGTTTTCAATCACGCCGAACTAGCTAACCTTTCCTTAGTTGCTAATCTATCATGACAAGCCAGCCACATAAAAAAGTTAGCACGGGGTCGTGCGTTATTACCGTATATCAAGTTTGCCCATCTTACCTTCTGACCATCTTCTTGTAGGGATTTGTAAACTTTTCCAACTCTAAGGTTTGGATCCTCCATGATTTCTGCCAGCTTCCCTTTTGTGGTGAGATCATCCCTCTGACTAAGAATGGCCTTCATAATCCAGGAATCATTGCTGGTACATTGTATATCCGGCAGACTTCTGTTTTTAATGTAGTATGCCTGTATGCATCTCCCCCACAGCGAGTCTTCTTTCCCACTCAAATTTCAAAGCAGTTTCATTAAGTTGGAATTATTCCACACTTCAATATCTATGATATCCAGCCCACCATAGCCAACTGGTTTGCAGACCTGTTTCTAAGATACGGGTGACTTACGGTTACCTGCAAAACCGCCTGTCCAAAGAAAAATTTGGCAAATTGTTTCAATTTTTTTAAGGACACCCTTTAGGGAAGGGAAAACAGTTTATCCAATAGTTGGTCTTCGCAAACATCACGCTTTTTATAAGCTGTAATCTCCCCGCATAAGTTAGTAACCGCGATGTCCAGTGCTGTACTTTTTCAACAATTTTGTCAACCAGTGGAGAATATTAGGCAATATATAACTTCTTACTCGTTACGGGTAACCCTAGATACCGGAACGGTAACTGTCCCATTTGGAAATTTGATGCCATACGAATATCTTTCTTTGTCTTCTCATCTACACCAGCAAGATAAAGTCGACATTTTTGTGGATTCACAACTAAACCCGTGGCCTTCGAGAATTTGGCATATGCCGCCATCATTAAATCGACTGAATTCTTGTCGCCTCTAGAGAATAAGAGGAGGTCGTCCGCAAAACACAAGTTTTTAATATTCAGTTTCTCACATTTCGGGTGATAGTTGAAGTTACTATTTTGTTGCATTTTGAAGAGGTAACGGTTCAAGCATTCTGTTACAATGACAAAAAGCATAGGCGAGATTGGGTCACCTTGGCGTAGACCCCTTTTTGCTTTCATAATATCAGAGTGGTATCCATTAACATTGAATCTGTATGATACCGTTGAAACCGCAGTCATGACCCAATCAACAAATTTTCGCGGGCATCCTACCTCAAGTAAAAGCTTCTCTAACGTATTCCAATCCACCGTATCGTATGCTTTTTGGATACCCATTTGAAGAAGGCATCTGGGGGAGATTTTTTTCCTTTCATATCCCTTGATCAACTCATGAGTGAGGAGTATATGATTGTGAATTGTTTGTCCCTTTATGAATGCAGCCTGGTTATCACCCACAATTGCTCCTAATACCATGGCCAATTGATTAGCTAGTACCTTTGAGATGATTTTATATAAGGTACTGCAGTAAGCAATCGGTCTATAATCCTTCATTTCCTTCACTCCACTGTGTTTAGGGATAAGCGTGACAATTGAGCAGTTCACCGCCTTATACATTCGATTGGTATTAAAAAAATCATTAGTTGCTGTTATAACATATGCCTTCACTATCTGCCATGCCTGTTTGAAAAAATAGGCTCCAAAGCCATCTAGACACGGCGCCTTGTAATTTCCTATACCATCTAGTGCATCCTTGATCTCTTTTTCTGTAACCGGTTCACTGAGCATTGTTCTCTGGTTTTCAGTAAGCTGGCTGCCCGCACGCATTGCACTAGTGTCAATAGCTTCAAGGTCGTTGGAACGTGTCCCCATGAGTTTAGTGTAGAACTCTAGCACTGCATTTTCCAGTCCTTTTTTATTTGTAGCATAAGAACCATCCTCCGTTTGAATTTTCTTCATGGTTTTGAATTGTTGTCTCATTTTAGTTGAGGCATGAAAATATTTGTTGTTACCATCACAGTGACGTAACCATTCAATTTTCGCCCTCTGTTTCAGCATACTCTCTTCCTTTTCCTACCAATCTAAAAGTTCTGCAGTATATTCCTTAACCTGTCGAATTTTGTCGCCATTTAGCCTGTTATGCGCAAGGTCAGTCTGGGCTACTGTTAGCTTCTCACGGGTTTGTAGAATTTTGTTAGTAACATCAGCCAAAGGTTTACTAAGTGACTTTATATGTGGTTTCAACCTCAATAATTTCCTCCAAACAATAAACATTGGACTACCTTCCATTGGCATATTCCAACTATCACTTACAGTGTCCCGGAAACGGTCCAAGTCCGTGCTGCAATTTATGAATTTAAAAACTCGGTTTGCTCTAGTTTTCGGCATGTTGTCATTCAGTATTAGCATGGAGTGATCGGAGATGACGGGGTTCTCATGAGTTAGAGTCGTATTATCGTTTTGTTGCATCCAATCCGCGTTTCCCAACACATGGTCAATCCTCGAATAAATCGCATTATGTTCCTGTTTGTTGGACCAGGTGAAATAATCACCTTGATGATTTAGTGCATACAGTTCAGTCTTACTCATCATCTCAATTAGATCCATGTATTCGTACTCTGTCACCTCATTCCCGCCAATCCGATCTTCGATCTTCATAACATTGTTGAAGTCACCGATCAACATCCAAGGCCCAGTCTGGTTTGCACAGATTTTATCAATGTCTTGCCATAACTTCTTTCTATGATGCAGTTGATTTTGCGCGTATATTGCCGTCATCCAGAACATGAAATTATCATTAGCATCATTCACCTTACAATGAATCATTTAATCCGTGCTCGCAATAAATTCAACCTGTCTGCTGTTGTCATCCTAGTGGATCTAAATTCGGCCATTATCATGTTGGGCATAATTATCCATGTAACTACCACGCATCTTTAATTTCTTTCTAATTCCCACAGCTTTTTCCTTTTTCACTCTAGTCTCAATTAATACAGTTATTGCAGGGTCAAGGTTTTGAAGACGAGAGCTGATCTCTCTAACCTTGCCCGCTTTATTTAGCCCCCTCACGTTCCATGAAACGATCATGGAACATCCTTTAAGAACACTGAGGCAGAATTATCCCCAAGTGTTACAACCAGATTTCCATGTTTCCTTTTCACGTGAGTCGCTCTAGGATTCTTCCCAACACAACTGTACTGACTCTTGTCTTTATCACGCCTCCGAACTTCTGTCCAGCCTTCAGATTCTCCCCCATCTGTCTGTTGTTCATTTGTTGGTTGGAGGATTGGTCCATTAGTAATCTCAATTCCCGTCTACTGTTGGACCTGTGCAATAGGTTGTTGTGTCGGAACATTCACAAGCAATACTCTCCGGTGTATTGGTGTCTTAAGAACAGGCTCCTCTTGAGGTTTTTTCAATTGGTACTCATTTGTTTTCTTCTCTTTGGGGGCCCATTTTTTCACCTGATTTTCCTGCAGTTTGTCCTCACATCTATGTCCTATTTGATGACATTTCATACAATACGGTGGTCTCCACTCATATTCCACCATTTGCTGCATCTTTTCTCCGTTGTTGTCCGTAATGGTTATTACCTTAATCAGCTCCTAGGTGATGTCTATTTCGACTAGTACTCTAGCATATGAAATACGATATCTGTTAGCGGTACATTCATCAGTCATTAGCAGGGTTCCGAGTATGCTTGCTAGCTTTGCCAAGGATTTTTTTCCCATAGATGGAGTGGCAGTTGGGGAAACTGGACCCAAACCGGGATGGTACGCAACATATCAGTCTTCAAATTGAAATTTGGCTTCCATTCAGCTAGTAACATTGGCATGTTGCGTATGGTATACGGTCCCTTCAATAGAACAGTGTCTCTTTCTTTATGCGAATGAAATCTCAGAATAAAATAGCCTTCGTTGTTGTACTACATGTCAGGTAACTTGACAAAATTCCGTTGTTTGGTCATGAACTGCTTGACACCATTCATGCTTAGTTCACGACCAATAACATACATTATCAAAGAGGTTTCCCAGAATTTCACCTCATTGATAGTATCTGCTTCCTCAATTATAACCTCAGGTATTCCATTGACAATTTTTGGTGCTATGAATTTGAGTGATAATCCATTACCAGGGTTGTGATTTCTGCTAATGACGTCAACCCAGAGTTTTCTGGGTTCGTTTATCCCCTTCTTTGCTTCTAGGGTTTCATGGATTTCCTGGTCCATTGTAATCGCTCCTACTGTTTTCTCCTTTTCATGTTCCATTGTTGTCTTAGATGTTGAATCTTTGTCGCCTTGCTGATCGTCGTTCAGATTATCAGATGATGTTTCCGGTGTTGCCACCACCTTTGGTGGTTGTCCGCGCCTGCCCATCGCTCTCTTCCGGCGTTAACCTGGTATTTGGGTTATTATGATAAGGTTTTTTGATAATGTTGTTGGGCATAATAGGGACTAATGTTTTGGTTTAAGGGTCTAGTAAATTTAGGTTTTGAATCCTCTCTAGATTGGCCTAAATACCTTTGGGAAGTTCCGTAGTTTGTGAAAGCACAAATGATGGTGGATTCTACCACTACCACTAATTAAGGTTTACCATAAGACAAGAAAATAAAAGAAATAAAAATAACAAACTAACTTTTCTCATTCCCATTAATTAGGCATGTTATACATTAAATATTAAATCATCTCAATAAATATTTACTCATGGGCCAAACACCAACTTAAAAATGAAAAAAAAAAGTATAAACTATAAAAAAAGGTGATCCTTTCTTGTTCCATATAAACCGGTTCGACAAACTCTATTATGAACTAGTAACACAATCGAATTAGAAGCTTGAAGAAAGGTTTCCAACCGTTAGAATCATTTCAATCAGCAAGGCAGAATATGTGATATTGTAGGAAGAGGAAGGGTTCGAAGGAATCCTAGTTTTACGACAATGTTCTTCCTCACTTCTTTTCCAAATGATCTTAGGGTGAAGAATGTGTATTAAGTTTTCAAGAAGTTTAGAGACATCAATAATGTGATAATCCTCGATAAGTTGGACAAGAATAGAAGACATTATGGTTTTGTGAGATTTTTTTCATGTTAAAGACGAGCAGTTCTTAGAAACACAATTGGATAATATCTTTTTTAGGTTCAAGAAAAATTCATATTAACACACCTAGATTAGGTCGGGAAACTGGTGCAGATGTATGAAAAAATGGCGGAGCAATGCATGACTAGCGGAGTAAAGCATTTGACCCTATCACAAATCAAAGAGGTGTTTGATGTGAAGTTCAGAATGAAAGTGCAGGAATGGATTCGAGATCTTATATGCATATGGTTTGAAATAAACTAGAAGGTAAAGATCATGCTTCTGGCATTGAGTTAATGGTTGGTTGAGAAGATTTAGATTTCATTTCTCCTGAGTCAACTTTGAGGAGATTCAACAAGGCATTTATAAGGGAAGTGGAGGTTCTAGGTATAACTTATAATATTCAAGAGAATTTTAATATGATGGGTTATTTTGTAATCAAAGCGATACCATTGGGAGCCAATCTGTGCTTCTTAGAGGAGCGGGAAGAAGGAGAATTGGAGTTTCTAGTGTCTGAAGGCAAGGAATGGTTGAATTAATGGTTCTAGGAGATTAGGGTTCAGAAAGAAACAAATCTTAACAAGGATAGACTGATACGGATCCGATGTTATGGTGTGCCTTATCATGTTTGGCGTCCATGTTTTTTTGAAACTCTCTCATCAATGATGGGGGTTTATTTGTGTTTTGATGACAATACATGTAACTAGGTCATATTTAATGTTGCTCGAATCCTTGTAAGGACACATTTGCCTTCAGATCTGAATACAACCTTTAGCTTTAATATTAATGGCGTTCTCTTTAGGGTTCACATGATGGAGAATAATTTAGTGCTCTCAAGTTAAAACACGATTAAAAAGATGGTTTTTCTGTCGTCGTAGTTGAAATTCTGGTATACAGATCTCATATGTCCCAACAACATTGATCTCTGCTAAACAAGGACGAGGACATACTATGACCAATTTAAATTACTTTAAATTGTACTAATGTCATGACCAATGTCATGGCGTCTGTTGTGACATCAACAGACAGACAGACTATTTATCTAATCATTTAAATTGTCCAGAATTATAAATGCTAAAAGATAAATAACACCATGAATTGTTTACCCAGTTCGGTGCAACCTCACCTACATCTGGGGCCTACTAAGCCAGGGAGGAAATTCGCTATTAGTAGAATTAATTCAGAGTCAAACTACCTGTTTGCACTCTTCACTTAAGACCTACCCAATGACACTTCTGCCTAGAATCCACTAGACAAGAGACCCCGCTCAATCCCCCTCAATCACCGCAGTGATAAACAATTCACAATTACAATATGAAGACACTCTTCAAACACACCTTGATCTTGCTTCACATCTTTGATCAAGAGACACACACTCTTGCTTAACAGCTTTGACCAAGAGACATACACTCTTGCTTAACAGCTTTGAGTGGCACAATGAACACAACAGTTCATACACACTAAACCAGAGCAATCATACAACATACAATTGCTTGGCCTACAAGGAATCCTAAAACTCCTGCACACATGAAGAACATAACTCTTCACTCACAAATACACTCTTGCTTAAAAGCTTTGAGTGAACAATTAACACTGTACTAATAACAGCCTAAACATGTCTACCACGATGCATATAAAGATACAAAGGGTGACTTACAAAGTCACATACAAAAGACTCTCAAAGCCCTAAACCTTAAATCTTCACTCAAGTTTTTCTTGTTGTGAGTGCTTGATTTTCCCTTGCTTCTGCGCCTCCTTTTATAGCAATGCAGACTGGGCTTTGGCTGGTCACAAGTAACAAACATTAGGTTTAAAAAGTAAAACTAATTTCCACAATTCAAGGTGCTTTCAAATTAGGTCACAGTTGCTTCATGTTATGCCCAACCCTGACTAGAATCTCGCCTGAGATAACTAAGGCGTCATAACAAGTTTCTTGAAGTATAGCCTGAGTTTCCTCTTGCAATATAATAGTAAACCTAAACACGCACCCTGATGTCATACGTTTGAAGTCATAACATCCAGCATGACATCCAACACACTTTGTTCTTAGCTGGCCAAACTCACCCTGCTGAACACTCTTGCAGAATCTTCTTCATAACAGTAGAAACAAGCATATTATAGTTTCCTAAAAAGTCTCAGAGATCCTTTTTATGAACACCAATTAAATCTGCACTTTGTTCCTAATGAATCTCTTTGTCCTGCACATACTGATGAGGTATATCCAAAACACTTCTGTCAAGTGATATAAAGCAGCAGCTCCTGTTGTACCAGACAGCAATGTCATGACATTAGTAATGACATTCTGATTAAACCACATGACAGCAGTTCTATCATCAGCTCCTGCAGTACCAGACAGTAATGTCATGACATTGGTAATGACATCCTGATTAAAACACATGACAACACTTCTATTACCACAACTCATGCTGTATCAGATAGCGATGTCATGACATTGGTAATGACATCCTGATTAAAAACACATGATAGCAGTTCTGTCATGACAGCAGATGGATGTCATGACATTCAGCATGACATTTACATTAAAACACACCACAACAGTTCTGTCACCACAACAGATGGAGATGTTATAACATCCTACTTAACATCAGTGCAGGATCATGTTTTACCAAAATTTAGCCAATCATAGAATCATGGACAATAATAGAATCATGGAACTAACAATCTCCCCCTTTGGCAAATTTTGGCTAAAACAACCAAACAAACATCAGGTCAGTAGCTGTAGATAAGTACAGTAGATACCAACACTTTACTCCCTCTTGTTTTAGTCAAAAATTGACAAACATTGGAGTAAATGTACATACATATAAACTGAATGACATCTCACAACCTCCCAGGAGATAAACACAAATTGAATCAGATACGCAAGCTGCTTGATCTCTAATCACCATAACGACTGCACCACTTCAGCAGCAAACCATTGACCAGGATTTAAACTCATATCCACAGTGTCAATGACTTTTAATCATGAACAGTTTCATTGAATCTTGAGTTCT